CATTCTACTCAAACTTGACATTCTTTTGAGTCAACCTTGTCATAGGTGCAACTAATTAGGAGAAGTCCCCAATGAACCTCCTATAATACTTCGCCAATCCCAAGAAACTGCGTATCTCAAAGACTGACTTCGGCCTCTCTCAACTCATAACCGCCTCAAAACTTCTCTGGGTCAGTGGACCCACCGTAGCCAATACCACGTGTCCCAAAAACTTCACTTTCGTAATCCAAAATTCACACTTGCTGAACTTGACATATAACTGATGGTCTCTCAAGGTCTAGAGAACAACCCTTAACTGACTCTCATACACCTCCTCAGACTTAGAATAAATTAAAATGTCGTTAACAAAGACTATGACAAAAATGATCCAGGTAGAGTTGGAACATCCTATACATGAAAATCCATAAATGCCGCTGGAGCATTTGTTAATTCAAAAGGCATGACGGTGAACTCAAAATGCCCATACTGCATCCTAAACGTCGTCTTGGGAATATTTACTTCCCTAATCCTTAATTGATGGTAATCCGTGCGTAGATCTATCTTGGAGTAGACTCGCGCCCCTCTCAATTGATCCAACAAATCATCAATCCTCAGCAAAGGATATCTATTCTTGATAGTAACCCGATTCAATTGCTGATAGTCTATAAATAGTCAAAGGGTCTTGTCTTTCTTCTTGGCAAATAACACCGGAGTGCCCCAAGGTGAGGTACTCGGTCTAATGAAACCCTTGTCCATTAATTCTTGCAATTAGACTTTGAGTTCTTGTAACTTTATAGGTGTCATAGAAATGGGCGATGTAGCACAGTGCAACTTAACGGTGAAATCTACATCCTTATGTGGAGGTAATCCTGGCAGTTCGTCTAGAAAAACATCCTCATACTCACAAACCACTCGAGGTAGATTTAACTCCTGTCTTACCTCGTCCTCTAGGGTAAGGATCGCTAGCCAACCCATCAACTATCCATGCCATCAAGATTCATACATGGCTTGGGGTAAAATATCGTGCTTTTCCCCTGAAACTTGAAACAAACACCCTCTGGTGTGTAGACAGTGACCCTTTTCGATCACAATCTATAACAACTCGGTGTGCCGTCAACCAATTCATCTCGAGGATGACATCAAACTCTGACATATTCATGATCCTAAGGTCTACAGTTAGTAGAATCCCTGAAATTTCTAACTCACAACCTCGACATATCTAATCAACATTTACCCTAACTCCTAGGAAAAAACTCACTTGCAATGGTTTTTCTAAGGTTTCAACCTCTAAGCCAAAATTCCTCACACATGATGTAGATTCGCCCTTGGGTCCCTGAAGTCCTAGCCTGTGAGCCCTGTCCTCGGCCTCGGCCTCGACCTCGACCTTGGCCCATGCCCATTTGACCTAATTGTGAAGTCCCCGCACGTGAAGTAGTAGGGCCTTGTGCAGTATCCTGGAACTGAAACTGGCTTTTCTGGCCCATGGTGGGGTATGGAGGAATAAAGTAAGTCTGTGGATGCCCCACTGATGACTGAGACTAAAACGCCTCATGGCCTTAGGATCCCTGCCTCTGAGGACAATCCTGTTTCATGTGACCCGGCTAGTGGCATATGTAACAAGTCTTCTAATCTGCCTAGTTAGAAGTCTTGAAGTTTCCCCCGCATTGGGAGGATCAACCTTGGACTTGGCCTTGATAACTACGACCCTGTCCCTACTGTCCTTGCGGGGGTAGAAGTCCTCTACTTCTTCTCTAAACTTGAAGAAGATAATTGGTCCTCCTTCTTCTTGTCCTTAGCACCTCTTTCGGATGCTCCGTGCATCATCTACCTCTCTCTTAATGGTCATAGTTGTCTCAACCATCAAGTTCAAATCTTGTAGACGGTGGGCCACAATTTTCCCTTGGATGGATAATTTCAAACCATCATCAAACCTCCTTACTTTGGCCATGTCCGTGGCCACGTAATCATCAGCAAAATAGGCTAATTCAATGAACTTAGCCACATATTCTATCACCGTCATAGTTCCCTGCTTCAAATCTAAGAAGTCTTGGGCTTTTGCGTGTCGAACAGCTGATGGAAAGTACTTGCCCTTGAAGAGCTCCCAAAACTCTCCTCATGTCATTGCCTTTAAGTTCTTTGAGGCCTTTGTTCAATCCCACCACAGATGGGCTTCTCCTTCTAGCTAAAATGCAGTTAGCCTTATTTTAGTGGCATCAGAGGTGATTTCGATAATCTCTAGGATCTTCTTCACTTGCTAGAATCAATTGTCCGCCACCATTGGATCCACTCCTTCTATAAAAGTCGATGGATTGTGTACTTTGAGCTTTTGGAGGTTATTTGTGCTTCCCTAGCCCACATTGGCCCTAGCTTGCTTGAATGTAGCCGCCATTGTGCCAGTAGCCTCCACAAAGGCTTATTGGTCAAAGGCTTATGGTGATTGGTTGTTGCTCTGCCCACCTCCTTGGCTGCGTTCTCTTATTCTATTTGTCATCTGCACATATGTCAAATAGCAATAGAGCACTAACTTAGTATCCTAAACGCACAACCTGTATACTATTTAACCACATGATCCATCTAAGGTCCAATATTCCACAATTTGCTCATTTACATCATTTGAATAAAAGGATATAAAGCCTGAAAGCATGGAAAAATACTCTTAAAAATTGAGATTTTTGGAAAACCTACCGGTAGGTTTGTCATAGTTCTACCGGTAGATTTGCCTACTGAAAAAGTTCTATCGTAAGTTCTACCGGTAAGTTTTGCCCATTGAAAAATTTCTACCGGTAGAAGTACTCAACATTCTACAGATAGGTTTTACCAATTTTTCTACGATTCCTTCCCTTTTCAATTCCAATCTATTCCAAACTTACACAACCTCATACAAAACTCACATAACATCAATTTTAAACAAAATACAATTCATATGAGTTCACGTTACAATTCTTTTCATATAATTACATGCCTAAAATTGAATTACATCAAAATTTTACAAAATAAGGTTTAAAAGCCACAAATCGGCTTTCCTTCATCCTTGAGGCCCCAATGAGAGCCTTCCACCGGTGTATAATCCGCACCTAGAATATTTTCCCATAAAAGGTGAGCCACGCTCAATAGGGTATCTCCTAAAGAGACTATTCCCTAACCTAGATACATATGAAAATGTCACATGTAATTTCAACAAGTCACAAGGCATTCCAATCAAGAATATGCAACTCAATGTTGGAATTCACAATTTCTTGTCATGATATAAGATGAGACTCACTCATGCATATCAACCGAAGCTCTCACCGGCTCTCTTAACACATACAAATGCCATGAGCGCAAATTTGGAGATTCTATGCCCCTGTCATTGATGTTACACATCCAATGTCCATTTAAAATCTCTGGGTCTTTCTTGGGGTGGGTATTTATGAACTTACATCAACAAGCACCCAATCGACACGAAATTTATGGACTTTCACCAACAGTTCCGCGTATATCGACACACTTTATGGACTAAATCGAGGGAGTGCGTATCCTAAGTAACTGGGTCTTGCACCCAAGGGATAGTCTAGCCCTTTTCGTTAATCCCGACCCACTTTTCAATGCAAATTGTGCAACTCAGTCGAATCTTCGATTCAACTTTCTCGAGCCCACACATCATCCATCAAGTGTGGTGTTTGATGACAACCATGCACACACACTCACATTCATGTCTAATGCCCATGAATGCAATGTAATGTACGATTGTAATACTATATCATGTCCAATATGTATGAGTGTCATATGAACAATCTCAACCACATTTCAACATATACTATGGTTAATTATATCATAAGCATATAATTTTCATAAATCCTCATAATTTCAATATATCATATAACATATAAACAACAATTTTTCAAGCATGTTATACATAATCTATGCAAAACACACTTAATTTCACATAGGCATTAAATCAAACACCTTCAAATAATCAAATCATGTAATCACATAAAATGCTCAATTTCATCACATAACTCGAGAAATTACATTAAGTAATTTCTACATACCCAATTCAAGATAGAATTTATTCCACCTATTTCTAATACCCATTTCATTAATTTACAACAATAAGCAAGTGTTATACATCTCTAACAATCTACCCATTCCATATCCCAACTCTAGGTTGGAAATAAACTTAATTGGAGAGAAAACCCTACCTCTTGAAGGGTAAAATAACCATAAGAAACTTCAAGAACCCGAAACATGCTCTAATCCAAGCTTTCCCCAAAATTTTGTATTTGAAACTTCGACGAAATCCATCCTTTTTGGTATGGTCGCGTAGTCCACAACGAGGAAATTGACTTTTGCTCCTGGCTCGTGTTGATTCGATCGATGAGACAGTGTAGATCATAAAGAGAAATTTAAAATCTCTCTTTTTCTCTCTCTTCCCTCTGCAACGTGAAGACCTAGTTGAAAATGGGGGGTTATAGCCTTTAATTGCTTGGTCTACATTTCGCCACATGTTCTCCTTTCTCAGGTCTAATTTTGACCCGAATCGATTAAATTTTATCTTGGTTCAAGTTCAAAATATGTTTATTTCAAATTGCTTTAAATTATTATCTAATTTTTATTCCTGAGTTTGTTTATGAGGTCACCCGATACTTGATCGCTTCGTAAAACGCAAAAAATTTGACTGTCTCAGAATTCGATGAAAATTGATTGGATAACTAAATTTCGTGAGAAGAATCCAACGGTGAGGTCCGTTTCGTCATCTGAGTTTTAGAAAATTTTAGATTTTCAACTCGTACTGCAGTGACAAATTACCGTTTTATCCTTTTTCATAAAAAATTCTATTTTACCCAAATTTCACACCTCAATCCTACCTCCACGATATCCTCATAGAAAATTAACTCTCCTGAGGAATTATAACACGTCGCTCGTCCTTCTCAGCCCAATGGCACATAACAAAAGGAGGGATATGGAACAAAGATACAATGAGGGCAATGTCATCGTCACAAGCTATGAAACTGAAGATAAAAGTTACCTTCGAATTGCCACTATTTGTAGTTCCCTTGCCTTGCTGTGAATCTGGTATAGTATTCCTCTTCATGCCTTTGTGAGAGTGGGTGCCTACCAAAAATTAGAGTCAATGTCAAGAAAACGTCAAAACAAAGAAAGAATAAAGGAAGTAAGAAGGTTTGCCTCCTCCCTAGCTGAAAAGCGTCATAGTCTCCCTTTCTGGCAAAACCCAGCACGTTTACCTACTATTCCCCACGAACGCTTGACAGATGCGCTCCAAAAGCTTAGCTCCGCATAGCCATCACCTAGCACTATACACACATTTGTGCCCACAACCAATGCATTGTCTGTGCCTCCTACACTAGCAGCCAGGGCGTTACTAACGTCTCCTGCGCTAGTGCTCGGGGCATCGCCAACGCCTCCAGCTAAGGCGTCACCAACACCAACGTCTTGAGTGCCTGGGGCGCCGCCGCGCAGTCCTCCTCCGACGATGTTTCTACCTGCCGATGCCACTTGGGTCCTCTCCTCCAATGCCTACGTCACCTCCTGCGCCTTCACTAACGTTGTCTAGTGCGTCTCCACCTCCACTAGGGCCTTCCATGTTGCCTAGCCCACTGGCGTCCGCTTCTACCTCACCTCTAGCACCGCTTGGCATCACCCACGACTTCGCTTGAAATCGCCTGTGGCATCGCCAAGGCGTGGCCTTCGTATTTGTCTGGTTTCTCTTAAAGCCCAGTTGTGCTCTTCCTCATGGAGCCACCCATGGAGCTCCTCTTCGATGTCCTCCCACGGGCCTCCATGATATTGTCCTTCGATCTCTTAATTGCTTAAGGGATGGAAGATTTTAAGCTCTCGTCTTGAAGGAAAGCTTCGAGTGAAGGACATGAAATGGAGGTGACTTAAATGGAAAAGAGGGCTTTTGTTGTGAATAGGATAAAGTATCTTTAGACCTCATGGAAGACCCAGCAGATGGGATTGGGTGCCACAATAATAGTTATTCAACCACACTGTTACCTGTAACACCCCGCATTTTCTTTTATATATGTATATAGATATATAGTAAATAATTGTGATAAAAAAATGTGGATATATGTAGTGATATGAGTTTGAATTTGGTAGATTAGAAAAGTAGAGATTTAAAATGTTAGTGAAAATAATAGTTGAAATTTGGTTTTAATAAGTGAAAATATGAAATTTTAGGTCCTAGAACTTGTATTAAATAGGTTTGGTGTAGAAATATGTGTTGGAGAGGTTTGAGATAGATTTGGTTGGCTTAGGAATGGATTGAAAATGGAAAAGGGACGAAGACAGGCTATGAATAGTGCACGTGAACAATGCACTACTGCAACTTCAAGCTCGATTTAGACCTTGATGCAGTCAATATCTCTTAAAACTCAAAACATAAAAATTTTAGAGCTCTTTCGTATCATTCCATAGCATCTTGAATCATCTCAATCGGAGTTTGGATTAGAGATTTATGCTCAGATAACGAAATGATGTCGAAATAGTCCAATTAGCTTCGTTTTGCATTTAATGTCTCCATTTGCATCCTAAATCAAAATATAAGAATAATGAGTACTTTTAGGCTTCAAATAAGTATAAAAGGTTTTAAGAAACACCCTTTATCACCTTTTATTTGTAAACATCGCAAAACTTCATTAATAGCCGATTCGGATGAGTAAAATATAAATTTTAGTATTTCGGGTGTACGTTGAGTTGGGTGTTGAGATAAATGATAAAAATAAATGTTTTTAGGTTAAAATAACATTAAAAATGAATCCAGAACGTCGAAAAACCTTAGGGTAGTCATATGGATCAAATTTGAGATTCTTAGTGGTAAAATCGTAAATTTGAAAAAACTCAAAACAACCTGTGAACAGTATTTTTCGGGACTGCTATGTTTTAAACTCATTTTCATCTCATTTGCTCTCATTTCCTTCACTCCCCTCACACCCCCACACCTCTTGAAACCCTAGAAGGCATTAGAGAAGAAGAAAGGAAGGGAAAAACAAGAGATTCAAGAGTGATTCAAGATCAAATATTCTTGTTCTTCACTCCAAAGCTAAGGATTCAAGGTAGGGGTTTTCTCTCATTCACTTACATTGAGGCTAGGGTATTTATATATGTATTTTTTGGCTATCAATGATATATATATACTATGAAATCATCCTCTCTTAGGCTTTTTGCAAGGATTACATGTTTTGAACAAAGTAGGGTTTAATACCCATGAAATCTCCTTTCTAGTTTTAAAACCCTAATTTTTGGAGAGTGATATATTTTCTTCCTAAATGCTTTCTTTATTATGGATTTTGAAACCTTAGTGCTTTGTGTTGGGTAGAAAAATGATGTTATTGTGATCTCATGTATTTTCTTAGTTAGTTGTGAAATTGTTATATGATATATTTTGAGAATTTTGGATAGATGATTGTAAATTGAGATAAATGTTGGAATTGTATGCTTGGTTGGATTACTTATGATGCATATGAGTGAGAGGTTCCTTGTAAGGATGTTCACCCCTTCCCAAGAGGTTCTTGGTAAGGATGCTTGAGAATCAAAAGTGACCTAAAAGGGGGTGGAGGTTACCACAAAGTATGCCACCTACCGAAAGAATTGTTGGGAATTGGTTATGACAATTAATGGTTATTATTTGTATGTGGTGCTCATTTATTCATTTAAGTAATGTTTTTAAATAAACTTGAGATCATTTTTAAATGTCACTGCTTTATTTCAAATTATGTATCTTTGTTATGTTAAAATTGAGACCGATCGTTTTAAATGCTTTTCTAAACCTTTTATGAGTTTTGGAGAATTTTTTTACAGAGCTTCGTGCTCACCCCCTATCGCTAACATTTTTCAGATTACCCGCTTGAGGAGGAGGACGCAAGGGTCGAGGAGCCCGCTACTTAGGAGACTCCACGGGACGGGAGTGTGGATCCTGAGGTGGACGCATAGAGCGACCTCCTTTCCTTTTGTACTAGACTAGGATATTCTTTTGGAACATTGTGTAATCTAGCTTCTTTTGTTTATTCCGCTGTGCTTTCTTAATTAATTTTTAAGATGTAATAGCCATGACTTGGACTTATTCTTTTGGATAATGTTGTAAATATTCGTGGATGACAAATGAAGTCTTGTTTCTTAAGGGATTATATTAGTGCTCTCATGATATGAATGGTTTTAGAATGTAATGTCATCCAGAGTGTATTTTGAGGCGTTACATTACCAAAAAAGGAAAGAAGTTTCGTAGAACATAGTGATGGGAAGCCGAAGAAACTACCATGGAAAACAAGATACCTGGTCTGCCTAAATGAAAGGCTCATTCATGCCCTCAACCTCTTGTCATCGCAAGAGCTTGGGGCATGGGGGGCAAATAATGAGCCTAGATCCATATAGCTCAGGCCCAATTCGTGGGTTAAGCCCAATTCGTGGGTTAAACCCAATTAGCCGAAACGATAAGTCAAGCTCAGCTCATGACCATAGCCTAGTCCAAAAGTTTAAGAGACCGGGGATGTTAACGCACGTGGGGGAGCAATCATTGGGATAGCCACTACTCAAAGATAGCACATATCCTTAATTTGTAGTTATCCTTAATTGTACATATCCTTCCCGAAAGAATAGTAGTTTGACCCTTATGTCACCGCCTCAACTAGGGTTTCATGTCTATAAATTATAAGCCCTCTAGACATGGGGGAGATATCTCTCACACATCTCACCTTGAACTCATTCTTGCTATCTATCTTCCTCACCTACTATTTTATTCTTTCATTAATTAAGTTTTCTGGCCACCGTTATCGCCTTCAGTGGTTACGTCACCTAGGCCCAACTACCCAACCTTTGTCTTTTACTATTTATTGCTTCGTTAATTACCTTACATCATACATTCGTTTGATTTGATTGTACATAAACTGTTTTGTGTATCATCAGGGCCCCAATATGAGTGTTGTAAAATTGGTGCTTGGGTGGTAGCATTAAACAAAGGGGTAGTTTTGTTCAAATAATAATAATTAGGGGTAATTTAATACAACCCATATTGAATTAATAAAAATATTTTTATTTTTTCTCAATTTTTGGAATTCTATGTGTTATCAAATGTTCCATGACCAAAACAAAATGGTTTCTTATGATTTCCAATACAAAATTAGCACTTTTTTCACCCATGTGTTGGATAACATGAAAACTAATATACTTTTCTTAGATCTGATTTCAGTTGTAAGTTGATTTATTTAGAGAAAGAGGCAATTAGGTTCAACAATGGACAATGCCATTGAGTGAGACAAAAATGGAGAGATTCTATTATCTACATTCATATATTGTTTTAGTTATTTTTCATTTGGTTAAGAAATTGATCTATGGTTAACTTCATTCACTCATAAATGACATATTCAAACCAAAGGGAGTGCATTTTAAGTTGAAAGGATTAGTTTGAATGACACTGGTCTTCATTAATTCAAGAATCATAGATAAAATATGCTAATGTCTTTAAGTTGTCATATTTCTATTCAAAGATAATAATTCATTGCCAGTCGGAGTCTAATGACATCAAAAAAGTGGCTTTAGGCCCGTGAAAAAACATGGCCCCAATTTTTTTGGAAAGTAAAAATAAGGTTCCAATTTTTTTAAGTGGTATAGTTTAAGAAAAATAACACTTAGACCCCTTAAATTTATCATTTATTCATTTAGACTTTTTGATATTTAAATATTACACAGACCCCTAAAATTTGTACGTGCATAACTGTCAATGTCCATTAGAATATCCGTTAATAAATTACGATCAGACCCCCTAAAGTTCATATGTGTGCAATATTTAGACCCCTCAAGTTTAAAATGTTATTTTTAGACAAAAAATAATTCAATCAAATATAAAATATAAAATATTTTAAATTTTATAACCAAAATTCATGTTTTATTATATCATTTATTAATATAAAACCAAAAATAAAATTTAATTTTTTTCTTTAAAAAATCATAATTTATATAAAATTATATTATCTATTAAATGACCAAACTACTCTAATTAAAGATAGAAAATATTGTGTCTATTAATGGGGATGTGATCCTACATACAACAGCCATGAAAGCAGAGCAGAACCTCTGCCAAACCCCAACACTTCCAGCAACAACCTCATCAAGCTAATGTGCAGCTTTAACCACTATCTCGTTCCCATCTGGTCGTAATTGTAAGAAATGGAAATATCGGCTGCTGCTTCTATTTATCATTCAAAAGAAAATCTACTACATAAAGAATATATCAAAAACAGCAGTAGGCCAATTTCGAACATAAATAATGGCATGATAGTCCTTGCGCTTTCACTTAAAGCCTTCTTCAACGACATGAGATACCCTATAATTGTGCATAAAGGAGTTCATTCCACATATCAGGAATGCCGGGTAGGCACCAATGCAAGCAATCCTGTATCCCATCTGATGCTTTTATACTGTAGCGAGATATGTGACCCTCATCCCTCAGTTGAGAAATAGCAGTTATGTCCAAAATCTTAACCCCAGTACCCTTAACAGCTCCCTCAACAACAGGATCACTTGATTCATCTTGCCAAACTTCACTCCCTCCAGCCAATGGAGTGGTATTATTACAGCTACCTCCTGTGTTCCAATCCCCATTAAAAAAATGTCTTGGAGAAATTGTTCGGAAGAAAGCTTTTAGGCGTGGATGCATGGAACGTTGTAAATCAAGCCACCTAACAATACTATGAACTGTTAAATTTTTGGCATTCCCTATTTCTGCAAGCTTCTTATCTTCAACCGGATTTCCATTTGCATACATCACCCACCGGTTAGCTCTGAGCTTCCCTCTGTTCCAATGGTGTCCAGTATTAAGTACCAAAACATCAAACTGATTGAGAAATCGGTTAAGAAAAGCAGGTGGGCTGTCCAAATGCATGGCAAATTCTGTAGCTGGGTCTGTCATGTTTATAGGTTCTATGTTACAAAGACTTGCTGACCAGTAATATAAGAAGGTTGTGTTGGTATGTGGAAACCGATATGCCCATCCATCAGGGCGAATGGCTCCACGAGCTTTGACAAGACCATACTTCCGGCCCACATTTTCAACTTCTGGTTTCTCCTCACCACCAGTGACCATACACATGAGAGATTGAAATTGCTGCCTGCCTAATGAATCACCTATGAAAGCAATAGTTTTGTCCTGCATTCTGGAACATAGTCGCATTTAGGGCAATGAGATTTGAGATAGTTTTTTCAGAATCATATGGACAAATTTCAAATACATGAATTCAGGGATCGAAATAAATATGCATTAGCGATTGGTTTCAATAAATCATAAATAAGATGAAAAAACTAAGATGATTATTAGAGTGGGGAAAATATGGGATGAAACTTCGGTATGTGAGTTAGAAGAAAATTTAATACTTTATTAGACTTTCCTGATAGTTCTGGGACCTTGTCATGATTTGCAAACATATAATGTAACAGCAAGGCTTGGATATTTGAAATGTAAAAAATCTTCAGGGGATAAAAGGGGCAAGACCTTCTCAAGAATTCTGAACCTTCAAACTCTGGCATCTCACAGTTTTCCGGATGCCAACGATATCCCTCATAAGAAAAATCAGTGCGTTGGGTAAGTCTGCACGCCCACATGTCCGATAACCACTGCTTACATCCCAACCCGGAATACAAGGGCCGCCTTTGATCTGCAACCCATCTACCCTTGGCATAATTACAAGCTGTGGAAGTAAAAAGTTGGTGATAGTCGAACATAATTCACATCACTGAAAGTTTATAATGAGCACATATGTCTGTAGTTGTCATAATTCAGTCATTAAATAAGTTTGGGATGCCGACCAAAAAAAAAGTTTGGGAGATATGAAAGAGTGAAAGAACTGAATCATGTACCAAAGTCTAAGAAAACTATACCAGTCAATTATGTATTACAATACTTAGTCTGAAAACAACAATAAGATTCCAGGAATTAACTCCTTTTTAAAGTACCGATGACTAATTTAAAAGGTCAAAAGTAACAGAGAGTAGCATGAATTAGATCCTATTCCCCGGTGATTCAAGTTTCATTGAGAGGATATGTTCTAGTTTACAATGAAACCATGATCAGATATACAATGACAACTAAAAGAAACACCTAAGTAAACCCAATGACAAACAGACGAACAGGTTTGCACATACGCTACATTGCACTCGATTCTTACTAACCTAAAGTCAATTTTCACCTCTATTCCTAAATTGATAATCCATCAATTTAACCAAAAAAGAAAAACAAAACTACATTCAGATTATTGGCTATTACTATGATCACATGAAGGGAACAGAAGGAAAAGGAAAAGCAAAAGAAAAACTACTCCCACGCTCCTCTTGAAAGCTGCTCTATCTCTCCGCCCGCTCCAGTCTCAAACCCTGCACATTTACAAGGTCAAGGCTTTCATAGCATATGAGTCTAAAGGACTTCAACTAGAGTTAGTTATCACATTCATGCTTAGTTATAATGAAACAATGGTGCACTCAGCTAATCAAACACACAACTAAGACACAACCTACAAGGTCACTTTTACCTTTCTGATTGGCAGATGTGGTGCTACCCTAAGGGAAGATTTACATAATTAACCATGTAATAAGAACAAAGTATCAATATAAAAATGACAATAACGAATAGTGTCCCATAGGCTAGGAAGCACGGATACGGATACAAGATAAGGGAATGATACGATACAGATACCCCAAAAAATAGGATATGGGTACGGCCGAAATACGTCTATAAATAACTATTTTATATTATTATTGTTATGTAATGACTTGATAGCTAGAATTTTTAGAGATTTTTTAACAATAATAACCAACATTAATAATTTTTTATTTTAAAAAAATTACCTACCGTCTCACTATGGTACATCTACACAGTGAACAAAATTAATTAAAGTAATAAGAATGTACATTTAACTATATGTTTATTTAAATATATTTGTTGCTAAAATTATAGAGTAATCAACTCATTTAAACTCTTTAGATATGTGATAAATGGATAATATGTCCGTTTGAAGTTGGCTTTTTTAGGTGCAAAATAAAGATTTGAAAAGTAAAATGAAAAAGTTAAAGTTAAAGTTAAAAAAGCTATTCGAACTGTTTGGAGTGTTTCCGGAAAAACCGGCTTCCTTAGAAGCTCTTGGATAAGCTCCATTTTTTAGCTTTTTCCTAGTGCTAATGAAAGTTATTTTTACCCAAAAAGCTGACGGAAAAGTGCCCAATAAGCTTATGTCCAAATGGACTTGGCTTCTTTTCCTCTAAAACCAAAAAAAGTTGAGGTTTTAAACCAGCTCTAAACAGACCCAATAATTAGAAAACATCCATTTGTCTTTTAAGTCATATGAATTTTTGTTTATGTATTGCATTTGTATATGTCTTCACGAATACTTCTTTCTATATGCAGAGCAATATGTATAATTTTTAGTTACCATTTAGTGTGTATCTGATACGTATTCTCGAATATCTGATAAATTTGTAATCAATATAATATCTAATACGAATATGTTGACTTAACGAAATATCCATACTTCAAAGCGCATAGGTGACCTATCATCAGGGATGAAACAGGTTGAGCAAACTGGATACTCTACCCTGGTCATAAAAGGACAAGAAGAGTAAATTCATAATGGCTGAGGTGCAGGAAAGGATTTCCCCTATTGCTGCGGTGCTGCCATCTCTGGTTTGGAAGGGCGATAAAATTCCAAATGCACCACCGGAGCTGGTCCCTCGTGTATTTGAAACTTCAATGAATTCAAAGCTTCATTTAACTTTCTATCAAGTGAATTTTAGCTTCCAGGTCCAAAACTTTTCTCATAAGCATATCCCATACAAACATACACTTTCAATTTAAGACACACACGGATTTCATGAAGCATTGTTCAAAGGGGCAACTTGCCTTGGAAAAGATATGAGATTAGCATGTTTGGTTTCCTAAAGGCTAAAGCTATTCAGCAATGATAGAACGCATCTAAATGGAAATGTTAACATCAGCTACTGAACAAAAGAATCCAAAAAAAAAAAGATCTTTTTGGAGACTTATATGGGTAACAAATGAGGAAAACTTAAAGAAGTCCATCAATACTGTAATTGGCTTGACTGATCCAAATTAAACAGCCAATAAAATGTGCAAACCAAGGATCAAAATTTCGTTTCAATGCATTGTTTTCGGTCATGTTGGAAACGTAAAAGTTTCAACGTGTTTAGGAAAAAAAAATAAAAAATTTAAGAATTATTTTTTCAAACATTGATCGAAATATACCAAAATATCTTGAAACAGTTCAAAATAATTGTGCAAAAAACAGAAACGAAAACGTTTCAAATGTTTCAATCGTTTTGAAATGATATTTTGATCCTTGCAAACAACTATAACAGATGACAATGTTTGATACTAATCAACACTTTTATTATATTTTTTGTCCTTTTCAGTTTTAATACTCGTCGATATGAATTTGGCATTTGATTCTCAAACCATCCAAACGATAAAACAGTCAATTGATATTCAATATGAAAAGGCCCTCCCAATATCTTAAACCATACAAATATATACAAACTTATGTGTGCATGAGTGTATAGAGAGAGACAGAGGGGGTTATATGAATATATAAACAAAAAAAGAATTAATAAATAAATAAATAATAACCTCATAATCCCTTTAAAAGTTGTTATGTTCAGTAAACAAGAGACTAAGAAGGTGCTAGCAAGTATCAACCTTAAATATGCCGTTAAAGTAAGAGGCAACTTCATCCCAACTTCCTTAAGACTCAAAAATATTTGGATGACAAACAGTTTTTACACTGAAAGATGCATCATTGATTTTTTTTTGAAATATCAACTTGCCCTAAAAACAATCAAACTATGGACAGTTTGATGAGACTAGAAGCATTTTGATGCAGTCAAAAAAATTGCAAGTGGAAATTATCATATGCCATAATGGAATACCATAAAAGGGGAATTTTTTTTACTCCAAATAAACAATATGTTGAGATCTATAAAAGACGGATACTTCGTTGAGGTCGATTTATCCGTATTGGATACAATACTCGTCGGATACTCAAGAATATACACCAAACAAATTTAAAAATAAATAAAATATATGAATACTTAGCAGATACTTTTATATGCATGAGTACGTGTAATTTTTAGATTTAATCTTTCTCCTTCCTTTTGATTTCACATACAATGTAATATATCAACAATAATCCATATGACTTTAAAGATACATGAATGTTTTCTAAGTATTATTCAATATTACAAGTCCAAAGAGTATAAATGAGTTAATTACATTATAATCTTAGCAACAAATACTTCTAAGCAAACAATTTATTCCTTCAATTAATCATGTTCGCTTTGTAGATACACTATAGTGCGACAATAGATGATTTTTTGAAAATCAAAATTGTTGATGTTATTTATTATTGTTAAAGAATCACTAAAAATTATAGCTATCAAATCATTACATAATAATACATACGTTCTTATAGATGTATCCTAGTTGTAACCGTATCCTACTTTTTGGAATTTTGTCATATCCCAATTTTCGTATCATATCGTACCCGTATCTCATATCCGTATCTATGCTTCCTAAGTTGAGATTCAAGATTTCATTTATTTTAGCACACGCTTCATTGATTTTACTCGTATTTATCTAATTGGACTTCCATCCCTCCAAGGACTCATTACTTGCGTAGACTAAATGACTAGTTTGAAAACAAATAAGATGCATATGTCCTGACCCTCACTAATGTAATCAACTTGTGAAAAGAAGGAAGAAATCTATAAGACGGAGAATCAGGGAGCTACATTAATCTAAAGGGCCAGAACACACACCACCTTGATCCCAAGATAAGAGAGATAGAGATAGCTACTCTCACAAGTGAAATTAGGATAATAATGCACAACAGTGCATTGAATATAGTTTGAAACAACCCTTCATTACGGTTTCCCTAGCAAAAGTGTTGCAAAAAATACTTCAGAAATCGAATTTGGATCAATATTGACACTTACATTCAAGTAAAAAATAAACTAATAATCACACAAGACAAAGCAATTTAAGTCGTTCAGCTATTGCCTACGTCCACAACAACAACGATTGGATTTTTTACTATTTGGAATAAAACAACAGTACAATAACAATTGATCCAAACTTCACAAGTACTCACTCCAACAAAAAAAAATCACTCTGATATCTCACTGCTATCATTCACAAATCTAATAACACTCAAATTAATACCAAAATACCACTTAGAGAAGACCTCTTATTGCTTGAACACTTCAAGTTCTGATGCTTGAACTCACACAAGCTTCCGATGCTTTGGACAATGCCCGAGGCTCTCTTTGCATAGGCAAACATGTGAGGAAATAGATAACACTTCAGATTTGTGCAAATCTGATCCGAACTGTGTATGAATTAGCCATTTACGCACAACCCACTCCTCTTGACTTTAAGCCACCTTTCCATTGAAATTTGAGGCCAACTTTTGTCTTTTGTCCAAAGCTAGTAAAGGTTGATGGCCACATAAGTCAACAATTCTCCACCTAGGCCTAAAGCCACTCGAGCAATTTGAAACTCTTTTTTGATCATCATCTTAAATACGCCTAGTAGGGTGCCCAAAGTTGTAACATGTTGATCAAGTCCAAGTGTCACAAAAGATGGTAACATGTTTTTGTGACAAAGCTGTTGTATACTCTGCCTCAGTTGTTGACAAAGCTGTTGTTTGTTGTATCATACACCTCTAATTGACTAGACCACAGGTTAGTGTGAAAACATAGCTTGTTGTAGACCTTCGCTTGTCTAGGTCACCAACATAATTGGAATCCACATAATCGCTGATATGAGACTCTAAACTTATGTCCCATTGATAAACCAATTCTACATACAAAGTACCACGGAGATACCATGGTAACTAGCTTGCAAATGTTCCTTAACAAGATTTGCCATGTACTTACTTACCACACTGATTGCATGTGAAATATCTAGACGAGTACATATCATAGCACACATCAAGCTTCTAAATGCACTGGCATATGGAACATGAGACATATACTTACGTTCCTCCCTACTACTCGAGAACATAGCTGCTGACTGTCTGAAGTGGCTAGCTAAAGGAGTACTCATAGGCTTTTAGTTCTCCATACCAAGTCGAGAGAGTACCTTCTCCAAGTACTTCCGCTATGATAAGCACAATCTATCCTTCTTCCTGTCTCTCAGAATTTCCATGCCAAAAATTTTCTTAGCTGATCCCAGGTCCTTCATCTCAAACTCTTTGCTGAGTTGAGACTTCAACTTGTTGATTTTCATCATGCTCTTATCAGTAATAAGCATGTCATCAACATATAAAAACAAA